TTGAAGGAGTTTCATCATACTTTCTCTTACTATACCTATTAATAATATAGTAAAAAAAAAAGAGAAAATTAGTTGCACATACTTATGTAATTTTATAATTTTTATTAAGAAATTAACAATAATATTTTCAAAGAAATTAAAAAAGCATAACATACCAGTAACGTTAGGGCATGGTGCAACATTGTCAATTTTATGAGCAATGTGTTCTTTGAAACGTGTTATTCTTCCTTTTACAATTTTACCACAAAGTTTACATGAAACATTTCCTTTTGTATTTGGCACAGGTGTTCCAAAATGCCAACCTATATCATCACTTGGTGCGCCCTCTACTCCTTTACTCGGGAACTCTTCACGTGGTGGCATACTTACTATTTTTATATAAAACAAATAAACTTATATTTAGAAATATTATATTACTTATTACATCATTAAAAATTGATTTTACGCTAAATTTTTTAATTTTTATTTTTTAATCGTAAGAATATTATTAAATAACTTAATCTTTTTGATGCACTAATTGATATTAATTTTTTTATTACAAATAACTTCAAATAATTATATAATAAATACAATCTTCAATAATTACACAAAAATAATAAGAATTAATCTAATATCAAAAGAATTGACAACAATATAAATATCAAAACAACAAAAAAAATTATTAAATTTCATATACAAAATTATAAATTAATACCTAACACAATCAAAATATAATATTTAATTTTAATTAATTTTTTTCTAACTTATATAAAAAATTTATCAATAATTTTCATCTACAATCTCTATGTATATCATATTAAATTATTAATCTCTTATTTTTTTTAATTATAAATCTTCAATCCCTCTAATTAGATTTTATCTAAAAGAAATTTCAAAAATTAAAAGTTTTCAAACTTATATTTTAATAAAATTTTCAAACTATATTTTTATTTTTTAGTTTTTAAATCTTAAATAAGAATAATGAGATCAGTAAAAATGCTAAATTGTTAAGTCACTTAATTTTTTTGATACACTAATTGATATTAAAAAAATTTTTTACACAAACAACTTTTAATATTTATATAACAAAAAATCAACATATATTATCACAAAATAAAAAACTTACATATAATTCAAAATGAATTACATAACATATAAATTCAAAACCATTCACAATATAATTAAATTACTCTGTATTTCTTTTATCTCCTTACAAAAAATTTTAAATTTTCATTAAATTCAAATTATATTAATTATAAATTTTAAAAACCACTATAATTTTATCTATTAAATTTAATAATATTTCATCTAACTTATACAAAAAAATTTATCAAAATTTTCATAAATATATCTAATATTATATTAATTATAAATTTTCAAAACCACTAATTAAATTTTATCTAAAAAATTTTCAAAAATTAATTATAAAATTAAATAAAAAAATTCAATCTCACCCTCCAAACACCCTACCAATCTCTCCCCACTTTCCCCCCAACACCCCACCACACCCAATCCTCCCCACCCCATCCAATCTCTCCACGTGCCTAATATATCAAATTTGTTTAATTCTTTCTAGCAAACGGAAACCCTTCTAGAAACGCTCCATTTTTCTGTTCTTCTTCTTCTTCGTCTTACATCTTACCTTCTCTTGCTTTCCAGAAATTTTTTCTTATTTTTTTTTTATCTTTCATTTTCTCTCACATCCCTTTATCACTATCACTTGTTGACTTGCCTAGTATCTACAGATATCTCGTTTGTCTTTCAAACTCTCACAAGACACAACAGGTCATTTTATAGAAATTTTACAAAAAAAAAAAGATAATTTAACTTTCTTTTCTTATCTTGTTTGATCTTGAATGTTGATTGAAAACTTGAAGTTGATTTGAATTTGAATGCCGAAAATGTTGTTTGAATGGTTGAAAGTTGAAACTTGAAATAATGGATCTGTTTTCTAGCTCGTTTTAAAATTTTTTTTTATGATAAAGATCTGAGATTGTGAGCTTTATTTTTTATTTGACTTTTTATTTTTACTTTTGCAAGTTTGTTGTTTTATTTTGTAAGCTTAAAATTTTATTTTTTTTGTTAGAATTATTAGATCCGTGAGTAAAAAAATAAAATAGCGACAATAACAGTCCGTTATTATCGTTATTACCCGTTACGCCGTTATTTTACAGTTATTACTTTTCGTTTTTGTTGTAAATAAATTTTTCAATCATTTTTTATCTATTAATGGTGACGAAAGATAACATTACTGTAATTTTATAGCCATTATTTCGTTATCAAACTGTTATTTGAATCTCTGTATGCACGTTAGAGGCAAAGAATGAGCTTTCTCAAGAGCGCTATCTCCGTGCTTTAAACACACGTAGCTCTAACCATTACTTTAGTGGCTTTAGAGCAGAGCTGTACCAGTGGTCCAAAACAGGCTCCCAAACGTAGCAACATACGCAACAAAACTGATTATAAACTGAAATAATAATAATAAAAAAAATTCTTCGAAAGCTAATCCTTGAAAGGATTTACGCTACGCAATTCTTTCGTAGAGCCTGAGTAGGAGCCAGAGGGCAAAAAAAAAACATAAATTCCGACAGAACCAATAAATCTGAATAGAAAATAAGAACTGAGACAGCAGCTGAACAAAAATGTACGAAAACAGGTGATTAGAGTTTAATAATGGTGGATCAGAGAACTTATAAAGCCTATCTTCATGTTTCAGGTCAAGCATCCTACTTCCAGCTGCAAAAGGTTCTAGGTATAGTTGTCAGAAGATATGTATAGGCATCTAGTTGTATATTTTTTGGTCCAATAGGAAATTGGTTTCGAAAGAGGAATGAAGTAACAAAAAACTCTGGAACCTTTGAGTAAAAGGATCGATCCATCTGGTTTTTCCATTATATTTTGGACATTTTTCAAGTAATTTTTCTTCTTTGGAATACAAAAGGGAGGAGCAAACTAGGAATAACTCTTCGCAAAATGTATTTGACCTTTTTTTTTTTTTAGGAGCTCTATTAACGAGTTATGTGCATGATATCATTACTTTTCAATATGAATAGGTCCATTTAAATAGTCGATAAAATTAATTTTGATATTAAAAAAATAAAAATTATTTAAAAATTTTGATTAAAAAAATATTTATTAAAAATTTTCAATGGATACCATTGAATAAAAACCCCACTTAGTTTTTCATTTAGAAATTACTAATTTGAATTATATATGAATTACTCAGAACCTATTTGATGTATATATATTAAAAAAAATTTATCAATAGTTACTATTTCAGTGTGTAAACCAACTATCATTAAAATTTCTCTCTTTTTTTTTTTTTACTAACTTTTACTCATCTAAACAGCCAAATTGTTTTAGACTAAGAAATGATTAGAAGTTATTGAGTTTTTTTAATCTGTCAATTAATGATCTCTTTGTTCTGATTTACGAGTTATAATAGTTTCTAGTTAGAGATAGCATCGGGTCGGATTCGGGATAGTTTTTGCTCACCCCGAATCTGATCCTATCCGATTTTTTTAATACTCAAATTCGATTCGATATTATGTAAATCGTATCCGATCTAACTTGACCCGAAATTAATAAAATATTATTTTTTAAAATATAAAATATTATTTTTTAAATATAAATATTTAAAAATATCATTATATAAATATATAAATAAATAATTAAATAATTAATTAAAAAATAATTTTTTATATAATGTCGGGTCGGGTCGGATTTTAGGCATACCCGAATCCAACCCGACCTCGATTATTCCCTAACTATACTCGACTCAAAAATCGAAATTCAAAAAAAAAAATCCTATCCTATAGGGTCAGGTCTTTTTTAATCTATCAATTAATGATCTCTTTTTTCTGATTTACGAGTTATAATAGTTTCTAGCAAGCAATTTCTCGATTTTTTTTACATGAAATTATCAAAAATTAAATTTTAATTATTAAAATTAAGAATTTAACATTATACTCAAATATTAACAAAATGTTACAGTTGTGATATTACTTTTGATAAATGTCATGAACAGTTAATGTGACATTAGTTTCCATAGAATTTTTTGGCTTGCTTCCATAAAGGTTAAAAAATCATTAACTTTGGTTGTATTTACTGATCTATTTTGACAAGCCAAAGAAACTGTAAGTAACAGTTTCAATAATACAGTATGGTCTGGTGACAATCAATTAAAGCACCTAAAAATATCAAGGGGCAGAATCAATGAAGGGAGACTTGTTCTGGCGTGCTTAAACTATCCAGGAGTAGCTAAAACCATTAATGCATTTAAAGGACCACTTGCCTCTATCCAAACCAGTATTGTCCATATCCCCTGTCCCATACCCCATTTTCTCTCAAGTTTTCCGCCCACAGAAGAAGGATTTAACCACTATTGTCTATCCTTACAATAGCACATGGTTTCTCTGAGATTTCCCTTTCTATTTAGGCTGCCATTGGTTGCCCATTGGGTTTTTTTAGGCAACTGACAAGCCAAAGCCATCCTTTATTACCTGAAATCCACTGATTGAACATTGATAGAAACTTTGGCTATGGCCAACCACTGTCTGCATTTCCAATTGATAAGGGTTTTCAGTCAAGTTGCTAGGATTCTTCTTCTGATGCCCAATTGGATTTAACCCAAATTCATTCATCAGTCTTCAGTCATTGGTGAAAATTCAGACTACTGAGAAAGATAGAATTGAATTACTTAAATCAGCATTCAATATAGATTACAGATAGACACCATCTTCATTTTTTTTTCTTTTTCTCCTCATTATTTGGGCCCATTTTGTAACTTAACCTCCTACAGTCCTACCGGCCAATTTTTTTTATTAATTTGATCTGAAATATTTCAGCCTCTCGTAAAGTTGGTTGTGATCTTGAGATACTTTTGAAATAGAGGGCTGCTCAAATCACAAATTTTTTTTTTCATTTTTTATGTCATTTCATTTCCTATGAGAATCTAAAATGCCTTCCTTGCTAATTCATGTATGCATTAGTTTAGCTTTGGCCCTCATAAATGCTGCCCTGCTTTCTTGACTCTATAAATGCTTTGTATTTTCATCACAAACTTCCTCACTCGTTAAAAACCAGTGCTTCTTTCATTTCTATCATTCAAGCAACGCTTTCACACTCTTTCTTTTCCCTTTTCTCTGTCCCCTGGTTGAGATCTTTTTCTTTCCAATGTTAAAGGAGTGGTTTCCAGGCATAACTGAGGTATCACTTAAGTGTGGAGAAATTGTCTTTTTGTGGGGTTTTGCTGCAATGAGAGATCCTAGAATTAGGTTCTTAATTAAAGTGTTGAAGAGAACAATATTTGCTGCTTTCACCTGCATTTTTGCATTAGGTATGTCTTCAAAGATCAAAATTTTGTACAAAAATAAATGTTTCCTTGAGCTTTTCAGCTACTTGAGTTGATCAATAAAGTCACCAGCATTTCAGTTTTGTACAATTTTTTCCTGGCTTAGAAGTATACCTAACTATTTTCCAAGCATCAAAATCAAAAGATACCAGTTTCATTATTGAAAAATCTTTGTTTCAACTAGAAATCCTGTAGCATTTCTTAGTTGCTTACAGTTATCACTTACAAGCAATCTTTTCGGATGGCTAATTAAAACATTAGTACTTTTTACAGCTTGTTAGTTAGCTCTTGGAATTCTCAGTTACATCAAATATCTGTGCAGTGTTGTACCATTTATCTTGGCTTTTGCAGCAGATTCTATATATATATATATATATATATATATATATATGTATTTTTTTTTTTTTACTTATTTATAAACAAAGTAAACTGTAGTTTTGCCCATAGCCTACCCTGGGGAATTGTCTTCAACATGGGAAAATTTGTACAAAGTTCTTCTCTTCTAAACTCTGATATCATCTGTCTGATTGAACTAAATTTTGTTTGGGTTTTGTAGGAGGGGCTATAGTGGGAACTGTAGTAGGGGCAATGAAAGGGCAGACAACAGAAACTGGGTTTTTCAGGGGTGCCGGAATTGGTGCTGTTGCAGGTGCAATCACAGCTGTTCAATTGCTGGAATCATTGGCTGATGGGGAGTCATTGTCCAAGGTATACTAATAGTAACATTTTCTAGTACAGTCTGAGAAATAACTTTCAGCTAACCACATTTTAGCATTGCATTAATTTCATCCTTCACTAGTGACATCCAAGTGGAAATTTGCCTTTTTAACTACCCCTTTTGGTGTGATGTGCATCAAAGGAAAACAATGTCAATTCCTTCTTTAATTTGCTCTTTTACAGGTAGCTTTATTAGTTAGCTTAGTAAATGGGAAGGTCTTCATCGAATGGGTAAGCCCAGCAGTGCTAAAAGCTTATCAATGGCAAGTAAGTAAAATATCTCAGTAGCCAAACAAACTTATAGTTTCTTTTTAAGCATTGGGATTTAGGGATCTAATGTGGAGCCTGATAAAATTTCAGATGAGCTCACTCGAATCGACATACAGAGAAATCTCAGACATATATGATGTAAATGGAGAAAAGGGTTTGTCCAGAAGTTGCATTCAAAAGCTTCCAGTGCATGAGTTTCATTCCAGTGAGATGATCAAATCAAGGGAGGAATCTTCTTGTTCAATTTGCTTACAGGTAAAAACAAATGGTCAATGAGAAAACATTTTTTTTTATCAGATTACAGTCAAATGAGATGTTTGTATATTTTCATAGGGGCTAAAGGATGGAGAAATGGCAAGAAATCTTCCTAGATGTGGGCATATCTTCCACTTAAACTGCGTAGATGAATGGCTAAGCCGGCAAGGCACTTGTCCCATGTGCAGAGAACATGTTTTTAATGATGCTGAGGAATTTTAAATCATCAAATTTTGATTTAACAAAAAATGGTGATTGGTTTTTGAAATTGTGAATTGTGCCAATGTATAATTTGAAAAGAAAATGAATGATGGAATGTGATGCAAAAAAAGAAAAAGAAAAAGAAAAATATGTTGTATATATAGATCATTGCAAGGTTTCCGAGCAACAGTTGATTGAGCATTGGTTTGCTTGAATAATGTTCTACAACTTTTTGTCATTTCAAAAAAAAAAAATGCTAAGGAAAATTATGCTAAAACAGATTTAGAAAAAAAATAGTGGCCATGGTCTTACTTTAACACCCTAATTCCAAATTTAAAATTGTAAGATGTTTTTTTGTGGGATTAAACTATAAGATTTTTAAATAAAACGGATAATATTTTATAAATGAATATAATCTTCGCATTTTAATTAAAAAATTGACTAAACCTTAATCCTTTAAAATTTTCCATATTTTCTACCTTTGGACAATTTTTTTTTTTTATAGGTCCAATATTTACAATTTTTAACAAATCAACTATCAAAAGTAACTTTAAAAAATCATTTTCAATGAAGTGTGAATATTATGTAATTTCAAATTGGGCTTTCATGGAGCAAAAGTAAGACTGGATTAAGACTTTATTTTAGCAACCCTGGATCAAGATTTTTAGTTTTTTGCCATACTCTTCTAAGCCCAAAATTGAACAATTAAAACGCCTAAGGTCAGGGTTAAGAAAAAAAAAAACTAGAAAAAATAAAAAAAGAATTTAAAATTATTGTATTCAATTTGATTATGATTGGATTTTTTTATTTATTTTATATTAAATTTAAATATTAAATGTATATATTAGATTTAAATTAAATTTAAAATCAAAAAATAAAAAATAAATAAATGGAATTAAATTGAATTATATATTTTTATTAACTTATATATATTAAATTTTTATAAAATAAAAATAATTATTTTATACCTAAATATATTAAAAATTATATTAAAATAATATATAAAAATCAAAATATAAAAATTAATAAACTAAATTAATAAAATTCAATTAGAATCTAATCAAATTCTATAAAAATTAAATTTAAATTTAAATTGAATCAAATAAAATTTTAAATATTTAAATATTTTATATTTTATCTAAAAAATCAATTCGATCAAAACCATTATTATTCTAACTTAAGGATATAAATGATATATTAATACTTATATGTTTCTCGAGTTTAATTCGAATAAAATTTAAATTCAACTTAATTATTATCGAATCGAACTTTAATTTCAGTAATTTGATTTATCGATTTAATTAAATTTAAATATTTATATCCTATTTAAGTAGCTTACGAACCTAATCAAATTTTTATATTTTAATTAATAAAATATTTTAAATTTAATTTTAAATTTAAATACAAATAATTAAATTTTTATCAAATATAAAAATTAAATTTATTTTTATATATTAATTAAACGAATTTAAATAATTTAATTTTTATTTTAAATTAAATTCAAACTAAAAAAATAAAATTTGATGCAAATCAAATTTTAAGTTAAAACTCTGACGTATACTTCGCCGACCAAGGGGCAATCTAGTAAACAAGAAATTCCCCAAAAGTTGCAACACTTATTTTGTTTTTTTTTTTTTTTTCTTTGGGTTTTATTTTTCAGTTCACTTCACTGCAGTTACCCTACCCAATATAAAAGATTCAGACCAAAGACAAAGAAACAGAGAAACAGAGACGAAAAGGGTGAAATGGCTTGGTGTAGTTTAAGGTCAATCCATATTCCAACCATCGATGTGGGTTTACTACGCACTCGCTCTCCATTGGCCGCAGCTGGAGGAGTTGTTGTTGGCTCTTCCTTTTGGCGATCTTCCTCCAGAAATGGGCCTTTTGCTTGCTTAAGCCTCTCCACTTCTACTGGTAAACAAAAAAAAAGACTATCACTAAAAGGATGCTTTTGATTCTTTTGCACTGTTTGATTTTTAGTTTTCTTTGATGGGTTGTTGAAAACGGGTTAATTTGTTTGGACTTGAATGTTAGTTTTAATTGAATCATAAAAGAAGGGGGAATGGGATATTTGGGCTTGAATTTATGATGTTAAATTGATATTTTTCTTGTTAATCGTTTTTGAAATAGAATTTCAGTGGATTTATATTGATTTATTGCAAATTTAGGAAATTTACTGTGCTTGGAAGTCAAATATTTTATAGCCAAATGTTATTATTTCTTGTTGTAAAATACAACTTGAATTTCATTGAATGGTTTAGAAGCAACAATGTTTTTGACTTTTTGTGGATGGGCTGTGTATGAGTAAATGTTGGATTGATTAACTGCATCATGAAAATTAGAGGCTAAGTAGACGGAAGATTTAAGAGAATGCTGCAAGTAAATTGATCATAAAGTAGGATTTTGGACTTTCACATTTCTGCTTTTCTTAAATATGGGCTTCGGTGTCATTTGATCCCTAAGGTTTGTGAGTCATGACGACGCCTTGATTGTAGGGATAAAGGAGGCCGTGGCAACTGACAAAGCTCCAGCTGCGTTGGGACCATATTCTCAGGCCATCAAGGCCAATAATCTTCTCTTTGTCTCTGGTGTTCTTGGTCTTATTCCACAGGTTTGTGACATGTCCATTGAAGATGCTTGACATGTTAAGGTTGTAGTCCTAGACTTTCTTTACATAGACAAGGTGCTGATCATGTCTGTTGGTTTTCTGCTCCAGACTGGAAAGTTCATTTCAGACAGTGTAGAGGATCAGACAGAACAGGTAACCTACTAATATATGAACTAATGGTTCTGTAAATGTGCTATTTTAGCATTCCAATTTTGGAGCTTAACGGATGTTTGTAATCGATACTTCTATGCAAATCTACAGGTACTCAAAAATATGGGAGAAATCCTCAAAGCTAGTGGTGCTGATTATTCCTCTGTGGTTAAGACAACAATTATGTACTATTCTTTTTCACTTTTCTCTGCCATTTTTGATTGTTACGTTCATAATGGTTGATAATCTTAAATGGATAAGATTTTCATTGTTTCTCTGGTTTCCTTCATGCAGGCTGGCTGATTTGAAAGACTTCAAGAAAGTAAATGAGATCTATGCTAAATGTGAGTACAATAGTATAGTTAAAATCTGTTTCATGTTCAAACTTGCTTGATATATGGCTTCACGTGTTTGTCTTAAACCTCATTCATTGACAAAATTGATGAAAGAAAACAAGATCATATATACATAACTTGGTATTTGAAAAGAGTAGACTTAACCCTTGAATTATCATCTGGTACATCTGGCATTACAATCAATCAGCTTGTTCTAGGCCAGATGTATGATGGACGCCAATATTGTTGCCATTTCAGCATATCTGACTGATAAAATTCTAGTCTAGTTATTCCCAAGGACTTTGACTGCTGCACGTGTATTAATCTGAGCATTGCATCGAAATAAAATCCTAAAATTATACTTGGGGAGTTTACTTGTTGATTGATGAAGCTCTCCTATAAACTTTTGACTTGTCAAAATTGTCGTCTAAAATGGGCAGAATGTTTTCTTTTTCCGAATTATCCAACCCATAGTTAACAACATCTGTAGAAACCAGACATTTTAATTCAGTCTCCCTCATTGGTTTGTGTTGCAGACTTTCCTTCACCTGCTCCAGCTCGTTCAACATATCAGGTTGCAGCATTGCCATTGGATGCCAAGATTGAAATCGAATGCATCGCTGCACTCAAGGCATGATGAAGGGGAAGTTTAGTCTTTTCGGTTTTGCATTTAGCTGTCAATTCCAATTGCATTAATGAACTTGTTTAAGACTTGAAAAGGCTAGTTCAGATGCCGTTGTCTGATGGCAGTTAGTGATCCCATTTGGCATCTAGAAACCAGCAATTCTTGCATAACATCTACAGTGATTAAACTCGAATATGATTTGGAACTTAAATAATATTCCTGACAGAAGCTACAAATTGTCATGAATTTATGTACGTGGTTCTTGTTTTGCCGGAGCAGTTAATCGATGTTCTTCCATTTTGGAGATCAAGTACCATGCATCTTATGGCCTCTACTCCAAACCAATACCCAATGACATGGTTTCCCTTCAGTGCAATGCCTGGTTGACAAACTGCATTGACTGCTTAATAGCATACCTACTAAACAACAGTAAACAGGATACTTGTTACTTTGATATCTTGCCCGTTTATCTATGTCACAAATGTTCGTCTCCCTTGCCGAATGGGGTGCCTCCTGAGCCACTTCTCTGGTGGATCAGAGCAGAATTTGGCCCAGACTGGTTGTAGCTGGGGCAGAGATAAGCAAAATAAGTTTCCAATCCTTCATGATCTGTTTGTCAGACATGGATGAAAACCCTATTGAGAAAAATGAACTAAACAATAATTTCCCATTTCTCATATCTCATTAAACAATACAACAGCCATTTTAGTTGCACTCATCATTGGCCAAAAGAAAAACCAAAAAATGAAAATAAAAATAAAAACAATTTTATTTGTTGTCCTTGCTACCTTTCCATTGTACCAACCGATAGTTAGTTTTTGTCAATTAAAACTTGGAAAATAAGGGTGCCATCCATTTATTCCACTATAGAAAAAGATAATTTTCATTCATTTATTTTTGTAAGGGCAACTGCTCCTATTGAGTAAACAGATGATCTTACTTAGTTAGCTTACCTAATTCAGCATAATTTTACAATAATTTCACCATGTCTTGTGTCAACCAAGGAGGAGCAAACACCATCTTTAAGAAGATAAGCCATGAGGATGGTGAAGGATCGGTCTCCAACCCATTCAAGGCCTTCTTCCAATCAATAAGAAGGGATATTGATCGATATATTCTACAAGTAGATCGCAAGTAATCAACTAAAATGATTAAAAATATCATTTATAATTTAAATTTAATAAATATTTATTTAACGACTAAAATTATATCAAATTTTTTATTAAAAATATTTATCTAAAAAATATATCATTTTTTTTTAAATTTACATACTTAATTTATGTAACAAAAATTTTAATTTATTAATTTTATTTTTATTAAATAATTTTAATAAAAAATTTTACGAAGTTAATCTAAAAAACTTACACCGGCTTTTTCCCAATGTTATAGACTTATTTTCGACTTGCAATGTATAGCCCTTTCGAACAGAAGTTGATGAGCTATAAAAAAACTACAAATTAAAGAAGCCTCATGATTTTTATTATTTTTTTCATTTTTTCTAACGAAAATTCCAAAAAATAAGAAGTCTAGATTGGTAAGGAATTCCTGGAAATGAAGTCTTGATTGGTCCAATTCCTTGAAAAAAAAAAATTCAGCAACTAGCCAAGTAGACAATGGCGTATGGGCCAGTTGTCCTTCCACTATTGGGACTCTGCCTTCAGGACTTTCCGACCTTTAATTTTCAATCCGTGAAAACGAACAGAAAGTAAGCTTAGGTCCACCCTTCTAAGTCATTTTCATGTCGTCATGCAATAAAAACGTGATAAAATGGTCCCTTAGATGAATCATGTTATCAATGATTCCTTTGTTTCCCACTTCCAATGAAACGAATTAATTTATGTAAGAGAAAATCTATGTCATGTCTTAACAGCCACAGCTTTTTCACTGAGACCAACTCTCAAAAACTGAAACAATCTGGAGTAACTCCAAAATGCCAGGAGCTCCGTTGTCTCTAACCTCCAAACCACCATCACCACTGCCAATTATCACCCCTCTCCGCCACCAACTCCAATCGCTCACCACCGTTCGTTTCAGTGCAACCACCGTTACAACCACAGCAATGCCAGACCACCACCCTTCACTTGAAATCACTGGTGGAGCAGTTGATCGTTTTCTCCCTGCTTTCAATACGCTTCACCTTACTTACAAGCCTTTTCCTATAGTTGGTTGGAACTGCCATATTGAGACCTTATTCGCCGCCTTTTTCCGTAAAATCCCCGAGGTCAGGTACCGCCGTGAGTGCCTCCGGACCAAAGACGACGGCACTATAGCATTGGATTGGGTCTGTGGCGACCACCGCAGCTTGCCTGCTGACTCTCCTATCCTTATTTTACTGGTTAGTTCGTATATCTCTCTTCTCTTACAAATAACATCTTTAATATGTGTTACTCTTTTTAGACGCTCTTTTGTTTAATTTGATGAAAGGAGGGAAGGAGTATAAATTTTACAGGCTTAATTTGATACCCTTTTGTTTGTTTGGTGAGAAAAATTGAGTGATTTTTTAAATTGAATCTGCAGCCTGGACTAACAGGGGGGAGTCAGGATTCATATGTGAAGCATATGTTGGTGAAAGCTAGGAGCAAAGGTTTTAGGGTTGTGGTGTTCAATAGCCGGGGTTGTGGAGATAGCCCTGTTACCACTCCTCAGGTATTAGCTACTATTATAATTATCTAATTTCAACAAAATTTTGGATTTTTTGGACTTTGGAGTTGATATGATTTCAATATCGTGTATGGTTTGCACTGATCTGCAATCTGCATTACACAGCTAGGAAAGTTTCTCTATGTAGTAGCATCTGTAAATATCAAATCCATATATTTTAGCCTTTGCCTTAGTGGTTGGTGCATGATCCCTTGCTGATCAGGTTCTAATCCCCTTTCCCCAAATCAAAAAAGAAAAATCGATATGGCAATAGGACTATAGTTCTGGGGTTTGATGGCATCAAACAGTTGCAAGAGTAAAACTAGGGACATGCATGGCTGCTAGAATTCCATTGTGGAATTGATTTGTCTAACAAAACCATGTGGTCGACATTAGTGTTTTGTCCTTTGCTTTTACCTGTGATAAAATTATAGATCATTGAGAAGCCAATTCAAGTACTCTTGACATTTTTTTTTCTTCCATGACACTGATTTGCAGCTCCAATCAGCTTCATTTACAGGAGATACATGTCATGTAGTAGATCACGTTTCCTCCAGGTACCCCAAAGCAAATATTTATGCTGTTGGTTGGTCACTAGGAGGGAATATCCTTGTTAATTATTTGGGAAAGGTATGCCACTAATTTATCTTTTCTTTAACTATATATGTTCTGTTGTATATTAAATTTTACAACAATTTAAAAATGTAAGCAGAACATTGCATGTAAATGCTTTCACTGCAATTCTGTTATCTTTTAGATAGAGTTGAAGGGTAGATATATAGTGGAAGTATTACAGTTATGTATAAAAGCAATCTGTTTGTTGATCATATGGTACTGTCAATCAAACAGAAGAGATTTTTATAGCTTGTTGGTGGTCAAATAAGGAATTTTCGATCTGGATTTTGCCATTTTATCCTTTTTTTTTCTCTTTAAATCATACTAGGGCTTCTGCCTCATGTATACGTTTGTCATTTTTTGTTTGCAGGAGTACAATAACTGCCCTCTCTCTGGTGCTGCATCACTGTGCAATCCTTTCAATTTAGTCATTGCAGATGAAAACCTCCGTAAGGGCTTCAACAATATTTATGACAGAGCACTTAGGGGAGGCCTTAGTAAAATTTTCTCAAAGTAATTATACGAGAATTTCCATTTACTTTTACTGTGAATGACATTAAATTTTGAAGATATCCTTCTGAGGACAATATAACCAGAATTGCTCTATAATTGCAGACATGCTTCCCTCTTTGAAGATACGCATGATGACTATAATGTCCAAGCGGGTTTAAACCCCCAGACTGTCCGGGAATATGATGAAGCAATAACGCGCGGTATGTTTCATAAATCAAAGCTTTGTTACTTCGACTTTTCATTTTTTCCTAAAACATCCATGACCTTCACATATCTAATACGAATGGATATAGAGGTCTGACACTCCAAATATATGGATACATAACCGGATCTGACATTCACCCTCGACTCTAAGTAACATAGCATCAAAGTAGTTTTGCTTTCCTTTTTCCTTGCTCCGCATGCAATGTTTGTTTGATCGCAGGCTTGTCAACTAACTAGAGTTACTTCCTCTGACACCTTTCAGTTTCATTGGGTTTCAAGTCAGTGGATGACTATTACTCAAATTCATGTAGTTGTCATGTCTTACAACATGTTCGGATTCCCTTGCTTTGCATCCAGGTATACGGGCAGTTTTTACTGATTGGATTTGGTTGTAAAACTTTTAGAATTATGTCAAAGTCTCAAAGATTGATTGCAACATCAGTTATTCTTTACAAAATTGATGTATTTATGGTGGTTCGCAGGCTGCAAATGATCCGATTGCTCCTATTGAGGGAACTCCTCGTGAAGATATCAAGGTAAGTGGGTGATCTAACTTTTATTTCTTGTTTGATCAAGAGATCAATCCAACTCTAACCCAAATACCCCAAAGCCTGATTGATTTGGAAATTGAAAATCGGAATATATACTATCTTTCTGATAAGATCAAGTCCTGATAGTTTTTGTTGCCATCTTGCTTCACTATATCCCATTTCTATATTGCTTTCAATTTTCACTGTTTTAAAGGATCATATTTTGGTGTATTTTCCCTTCATCTCTCCATTAACTTTATGACTAATGAAGTGTATTTTCTGATGTTTAAAGGGAAATCCAAACTGCATGTTGATGGTAACACCCCAAGGTGGTCATTTGGGTTGGGTTGCAGGCGATGACGCTCCCTTTGGAGCTCCTTGGACTGATAATGTGGTGATGGATTTCCTTGAGCATCTGCAAAAAGATGCATCGAAACCCCGAGCATCTTCTATTAGCGGAGAAGGTATTCAGCAGGGTTCAGAGGGCTTCCATCAGGCGAAAGTTTAGTTTGCAAAAGCATGTTTACAAATATTATCATTGAACATCTAATCTTGGCTGTACAATCGTACCCTCGAGTTCCATTAGATAAAGCTGGAACTATTTGATTCTTTATGCTTTCACATTGTTCATGGAGATTAGTACAGAAGATCATATTGTGAATCATATAAGGTAAAATGAGGTTCATGTTTATTAAAACAGTCATTGACAATAGAAAAGGAAGATCATATTGTCAAAGGGTATCTGAACTTATGATATTGCTGTACCTGACGTCAAATATTGCTACCTCTTAACTCTCAACAAAAATCGAAAACCAAAGAATCGTTTTTCTGACCAGGTTGACCAAAGATGGTAACCCAGTGGGTCAGAATACTATTGTGGTCCTTTATTTTACCCATAGGAAATTCAAAGGGCATCTCTTATAATGAAAATACAAAAAATTACAGAGGAAAATGTAATCATTTCAGTGAATTTGCTTTCCTTGATATCCACGGATCCTAGGGATACAGTGCAAATGGCATACATTGCTTTCTCGAATACAAAGAGAATGAGTATGTCCACAGGCAGAAATACAACTACAGATGTAAGGAGATGATCCAACCTGTTTCATCATGAGCTTTATCACAAGATATCAGCAGAAGGGATGAAACGGAACTCTCAGCATGTCATGAGCTAAAGTGCAAGAACAGAAGAATCAGTAAACCTATGAGAAAAATCAAGTGTCCGTATTCGCAAGCTCCTTCAACTTTTAACCAAATTTGAACTAGCAGCAGAAGTTGCCTAATGTATGACGAATATATTACTACTTTTTTTCGGTTGGCACATCCAGCTACCGTTATAAATGTAGAAATCACCATCCACTTCTAAATCTTATTTTTGAGAACATGCCGCAGCTGCACCTTCTGATTCTCCACTCTTGCCTCTAAAAGCTTTGCCTTCAAACTATTCTTCTCTGCACCACGAGGCAATTCAATGCACCCTTTCATCCCTCTTGATATGTGTGGATGACCAGATTCAGGTGAACTCCACTGTCCCACCGAGTCCGGGGGACTAAGCCCACTTTTACCTGACCTTCGATCTGAGGACATAATACCCCCATTAGACTTCCTTCCATTTGACAGCCTGCCCTTTGTTCCTTCTACCGAGGTTATCTTGCCATTAGACTTCCTTCCATTTGAAAGCCTGCCATTTGTTCCTTCTACTGAGATTATCTTGTAATTTTCTCCATTATTTGGGCATGACCTCCAAAGCCTTGCTATGGACGACACTTTCTTCAACTGTCTAGCAGATAACGAACAAACTTCACTCGTTTCTGTGATTGGGGCATCTCCACATGCATTTTCTTCCCATTCGGTTCCACTACCTGAAAACTTTCTGCCCTGATTATTCTTGTTCACAGATGCAGCACTCCCTTCTGGAGAATAACTTGAGCCCTGATCCTCAAGATGGCTGACAGTTTCCCACCCACTTTCTTCTTCTTCTATCTCATCATTCTGATCAACATAAGCATTTGAATGTCTCAGAATGCTGTCTTTTTTCATCATGTTTGTTTCAGGGCTCACCAGATGAACTTTTGAGGCATGGCTGGCAGGACTACACACAACACATTGTTTGATTTCCCTATCATTGGCTTCAGCTAAAGCCACATCCTCAAAAACAGCAAAAATATCGTCTGGGTTTGGAGGCTCATATGGCTCATATGTAAGTTCCTTGATTTCTTGGACATTAACTGACACAGCAGCCTGTCTAAGCAATTCTGCTTCTCTCATGTCTTTCACGTCCAGAGTTCCAGTCCCTGACCTTAGAAAAGTCTGCAGATCTTCTACAAGCTCGTTCATCTGTGAATACCTCTCTTCAAGTGCTACCTTGGCATCAATAAGCTTCATCTGAACACGTTCTTCACGCCAGACCTCAGCCATCTGTAACATCTTTCTTTCCTCATCGACTTCCTCTAGAAGCTTCACGGAATCTCTCTTAATTGCTTCCACTTCAGCCTTGTCTTCTCCAATTTCCTTAGCAAGCTCATCACATACTTCTTCAATTAGTTCTCTGGCCTTTCTTTCCTTTTCATAATCCTGCATATATTGCTTTGCTGATAACTTGGCAGCAGCCAGCTCATTCACCAATTTGGAATTGACAATTTCAAGCCTCTGGCGATTTTTCTTTTCTCGATTCAAGTCAGCTTTGACATCATCAACAAATGCACGTATTTTTTCATGCTCTCTGCTCCGCCATGCAGCCCTTTCCTCACTAGCTTTCCTCAAGAAGTGCTCAAGTTTCTTCTTTGAGGATCGGCACTCAGTCTCAAGCTCCTCAATGCGAGCTCGGGCCTTCTCTAGCTCAGCTTCAAGGGCAGAAACAATTGATACTGCACTTACTTGTTGGTCAATACACTTCATGTGGCTGTAAATTTGACGTACCTCATCTGTAGTTTTTAAGCAGACAGGATCCCACTTTGTTGCTCCCTCCATCGCAGAGTTTGAAAATTGAATCGAAGGCTCAATCTTAAAAAGGAGAAAAGCAGCTCAAGATCAGAAGAGTAAAGGAATCAATTAAAAGGTAGGGAAATAAAGAAATACAGAGAGTGCACCCCTCGTTTTTTCTGTGTATTATAGGAAGCAGCAAGCATGTTTGAGAATAAATTTAAGAATCTAAGTAAACAAACCATAAAAAAAGCCCTCATTTTGCATAATTTAAGCCCTTATAATATCCCCTTTTGAGTGATTTCCATAGTTTCTCCCAGAGTTCAGGTGGTTGGTGGCACACCTTTGTTTCATCTTGAACTTGTTCATTCAACAGATAGAACTAAAACCATGTTGACTAGTAAAAATAAATGCAAGTAATCTGTATTTCTATTCTTTCCCCTTCTAGTTTGCCCAGATTTGTCAAGAATTCTCTGATAGGCAATGATAACGTTAACAGTTTTAATAGACTAATAATATAACCATCTAGCACATGATTAAATTTTCATACCAATAAATACTAGTATACTAAATTCTGCATTTATCAAGGACCAAGCCTTCAGCTTTGGTAAAATTCGAAATGCCAGAAGGGACAAAAAAACAAATGGTTTTTTTTTTCTTTTACAAAATTACCAAAATGGAAAATAAGAAACCACCAAATGTGGGTCCCACATGCCACACGAAAAGCGTGCAACATGTGTGAGATGACAAAGGTTTGGTTTCCTATGTGATCTATATTCAAAGTTTTCCATATCGATCAGGTCATTAAAAGTTCAAGATTCAGTTGAGGAGCTCACGGAAGCAAGCATACCTTACGCAGGAGGCTGTTCCTTGCCCCAGAGACATAACTAGGGCTCCGTGATGGATCCTTTGCATCTGATCCATAAATTTTGTCTTTATGATTATAAAGAAATGGGGCACCCATAAAATCGTTACCAGGCTGCAGGAAATTACAATGTAACGAACTCAAAATGTCCAAATCACAAATCAAAATCCATAATATGCTTATGTTCTTAATCACAACGGATCAATCAAGCTGCAAAACAGTAAAACTATCAATAAAGACAGAGGAAGCAGCACAACTTTCAGAAGCAATTCAAACAAATTATCAAATGTATTCATTGAGAATCAAGCAAATCGTAAATACCATCGATTAGTATAACCCTTTATCCAGAAAATTTGGAAACATATCATGTAAAACCCTGATCACAAAAGCCTCTCATAATAAGAAAAATAAAATCATATCGTAGCATACAATGATGACAAACTTCAAACATGATAAATGCATAAAAAATAGACTTTCTGGTACGAAATCATATCAATCAAATACATTTAGCAAGTACTGAAAGCTTCAATTGACATGCAAGTAAAATCTAAGACATTGTGAACATCAAAACTTCAAAAATAAAACAATGAACAATGATGGCATCATAAAGATCAGCATTATTTTCACTATCAAAGCTTAAAACTTCAAATTTAAGCAACAAACTACCAATTTTTAACAAGAAAAATATCCGAAACAATCCTTCAAAATCACACTTTGATCACATCATTCACAATATAAGAAAAAGCATAAAAGCATAGATCTTGGAGCTATAAAAAGCTTAAAATTCTCACCTTAAAGCCTAACCGATCCCTCCTTCTCTCTCGGCGACCGGCCGTCACAGTCTCCGGCAATTGTAACCACCACAATCCAGCTGCAAGCTTCCTAGCAGACACAGTCGAAGCTCCTCTCCCCCGTCGTCCCCGACCACCACCTCTCCGGCCACCATCCTCCTCTTCGAGCTCCTCTTCAACTCCACCGCCTTTCTCTCTCCCTCTTCCTCTCTCCTCCACCTTCCATTTCAACAACGGCGTCTCCGGTCTGCTCCGCCTCCCCACGACCGGTGCACCAACCCGTTTCGACCTCGTGTTCAGTGTCTTCCGCTTCGTCGTCGGCTTCAGATCCGCGTCCGTTGGATTCCTCTCCGAAAATGTCGCCGCTAAACTCACTTTCCCAGTCACCTTCATCACTCTCAATAACTCAAACCTCCTCCATCAACATTCCAAAAAAAAAAAAAAACCAAAACCCAAAATTTCCTCAGAAAAACAAAACAACCCAGAGAAAAAAAAAAGTTCATAAATTTATTTTATGAAATTTTTTTTTCTTTTTGTGAAGTGTGTGAAAGTGAGTTATCAAAAATAGTTAGTGAAAAAAAAAAAAAGAGAGAGAGAGAGAAAAGCTGAGCTGAGACTGAGAGAAGATTGAGAGAGAGACAGTGACTGATTTTATGTTTTTTCTTTGATTGTATCTGTAATGGAGAAAAGGACGTATCCCAGATGTGTATAAAAATACTATAAATGTATTACCGTATCTTATACAGTCAACGTATACTAGGAATTTGGGATGAGATACGGTGCCGTTTAGAAGCAACAAGGACGCGGCTTTGCGCGAGCGGGTTATTGCTTGATTACTTGGTTAGTGGTGGGTTGCGGAGAGACGTTGGAGATCTATAATTTTTAATTTTAAATGGGGGATGTTAACGACATCGTTTTCGATTGTTGGAGAAGATTTTATAATTAGGTTAAAATCTTGGTAATTATGGCAATTTGTGATAATTAAAAATATATATTAAAGATTTATTTGGTTTTATCAAGTTTAAATTTTTGTGATAAGGAGTAGAAATAGTTTCTTTATTGTTGCATTTTGTATTTAAAACTTAAATTATATGTATTTTTCTTTAAATATTTTTTATAAATTGAAAACTAAATCAAATTAAATAAAAACATGTACAATTAAATAGGATCCAAATAAAATATAATATAAACTTATTCGGATATAACGCTATGATTCGAATTAATTTTTTATTTTGTTAATTTTTTTCTCAATCCTAATTTATGTTAAAAAAATAAGATTTGAATTCACTTCTCAAATAAAAAAAAATGTAATAAATAAAAGGAAGTTCATCCAAAGATCAAGAGTTAATGTTATTTAATCAAAGTTAAAAAAATTTAATAATCATATAAAATACATATCACATAAGTATCATCGAATAATAAATACTTGACATTAGAGTAAGCCAATAATTTAATTTTAAGATAGGTATGATAATTTTTATATTTATATTATATAAAATATTAAAATTTATATATTTATATTATATTTTATATAAATTTTATGTATTATAAATTATGTTGATATTAAAATATAAAATATTTTTTTTTAATTTTATTAAATTTAAATATAATTATTATTAAAATTTTAAATTATATTATTTTTATATTTTATATTTTTATCATATTTATATTATATTATTATATTATATTTTAAATTATTAAATTTATTTTAAGGTACGTATTTATAAATGTATAATACTTTTTGCAAATTCTTTCTTCAATATTTTTCGGCCTTTGGACAGAGATTGATGTAACAACTTCACTGTGCTTAACAGTATGAAGACATTAATGATTGATGTAAAAACAAAAAAAGAAAAATTGGCCAATTCGGAAACCCATGTCCACAAGCTTAAATAATTCCTTGCACGCAAAAAATCTCCTTGGTCTAAGGTTAGGTTTTGGCAGATTTAACTTTTTTTTCATTTAAATGGAGGATAAAATTTATTTTTGAATGAAATTGAACTTAATTAAGATAGTTAGTAGGAATGTTAATTTTATTTATATTTAGTGAGAAATTTGATATTTTTACTATGATGAAAATAAATGTTGTATTATGAGAACAAAATTAATATAATTTTAAATTTATTATCTAATATGAAAATAGAGATACATAATAAAACATATGTCTAATATTCATATCATATTTTACATATATATATATTTGGTAAACAAAATTTTTATTAAATAATATAAATTATTATTTTAGATTAATTATTTTTATTTAAAATATATATTAATATATTTATAAAAAATTATATAAATAATCAAGATAATTTTTTTAAAATTTTAAATATACATTTTTTTTTTTACGAATATGACATATTTATACCTATTAAATTTCATTAACATAAAAATAAAAATAAAAATAAAATATTAATTGAATACAAATACGATGATTAATATAATTTAAAATTTCGAAGATAGAATAAAAATTATTATATTCATCTCATTCTCTATCTATTAACTAATGAAATTAATTAATGGAGAGATTTAATTAAATCAAGAATAAATTAAAAATATAAATACAATATTAACGATAACTAAAAATAAATATGACAATGACTATTCGATCAAAGGCACTCAACTACCATAATTGAGACTGATTTAGGATTCAATGATTCTGTAAACCTTTCTCTTTCCAATTTTCAATTAAAAAAGGCAATAAACTCAACTACACAATGCCATGCATATTCAAATACATCTCATAATATAATTGATCACAAAAAAAAAAAAAAATTTTGAATTTCATCGATGAAATCCAAATAAAACTTTAATCTTATTTCAAAAGGCATCCGAGAAAGATACCACATGACTTTTTTAGAAAAATACACGTGGATATCGATTCCTATCAAATAATCAATCAACCTTTGTTTTTGTAATTTTATATTCTTTGCATCTTTGCAAACAGACGAATTGTACCTACATGGGGTCATGGGCAGATTCGATGTTGGAGCCAACACAAAAATTTGAAAATACCATGGCCCTTTTACTTAGATATAAATTTAATCTTAATTAGAGTTAACACTTCAATCCAAATTTGACATATTTTGACACGACTCAATTTAATAAAGTTATTTTTTAAAAAAATCAAATTTCGATTTTGATTATGTCAAAATTATTAAGAAAAAAATCAAAATTAAATTTGATCGAGTTCGGATTTTAGATAAATTCGACTCAATATTATATTAAAAATTATTTTTTAATTTTTTATTTATATATAATTATATATTTATATTTAAAAATAATATTTTATATTTTTTAAAAAATATATATTTTATTAATTTCAGATCGAGTACGATTTATATAATATCAGATCGGATCGAGTTCGATTATAAAAAATAATAAACAAATTTTAAATCAGATTCGAGACGAACAAAAACTCTTCCCGATCCGTTACCAATTCTAATCTTAATTAATTAACTTTTTAAACAAATTAATAGTTATTTGAGATTATATTAATTTTTTTAAAAAATAAATCAAGGAAAATAAGTTGTTCCAATCCTAAGTTATGGCACATATGTGTAGTTTCCCTGCTCAGCATTTATATCATGGATAACATCAAATAGAGGGTTGTTCTAACCCTCTAATTATGGCAAAGATGTATAATTTTGCTACTCGATTTGTTAGCACTTACATTTTGGATAGCACGAACGAGAAATTATTGATACTTGAATCTAAAATCTTTTATTAATAAGACGAATAAATTAGTTGATTGAATTAATTTGTTTAATCGAACGATCGTATTTTTATGTATTTTTTCAATTCTTAACGTAAATATGAGTCTATATAAAAAGTATAAAATCCAAATGTAAGTAATCCAAAATAAATTAGCCCTCAAAATTATTCATATTTGTCTGGTTTATGCAGCTAACACACTTGTTTGAGGGAAATTCTTGTCTTATTATTTGTTTTGTACAATCAAGATTCTGGACACACCAAGAGACAGACATGAAAATATGGGTCATCAGAATTGTACAAAGTGGATTTCCATGGGATTTTGTGGATAATCTGTTGTTAAACCCATGTTGGCCAATTGTGTTTTAAGGTTAATGATCAAAGCTTATCGAAATTTTCATGTTTTTTGTTTTTTGGCCCCCATTGACTTGATCTTAAAGAAAAAAAAAAATCTTAAATCCAAACTAGACTTTAATCCCTCTGTCTTTTTAAGTACCAAGTTTCATGTGATGCTGAGGGTTGAGCCATTAATGCCAAATTTCACAAGTGATGTTGTTCTTAACAATGGTGTCATTTTTTTTTTTTTTAATTTCTAACCATATGCTATCTCTTTTGACTATAATTATTGATAATAAAACATTTTGATCATAAATTTTTATCATCATAAATAAATATTCATTAATAAAAAGCGAAGGATTATAAGTTTGAAATTCAAATTTTTTTTAAACAATTGATGATTTAATTTGTCTTGCAAAACCAATCAAACAGATAAAATTTATAATTAAACGAAACATATTTTCTAGCATGTATGATAATGTCAAGTCATATTCGAGTTGTATGATTTATTTTGAATTTTTTTTAATTTATCATCCTTTTAATAGAATAAAGAATTTTATATTAGGGCCAATATTAATTTCAAATTATTTCATTAACCCAAAAAGAATCAAAATCTTAAAATTAAACAATGTGAAAAGGATTTGTTTGTATTTGAAAAGTCCATGAATTATTCTTAACAAAAAAAAAAAAAAAATTCAAATAAATGCACCAGCTTAAGGCCAAGAATTAAGGGGGTCCATGTGAATAGTTGCACTTTGATTGGTGGCTTGCATGTTTGCAATTCACTATTCCCATGAATTTGATTAGTGAGGGACTGCTCATCCATCACCAATACAAAAGCAAAATTATAGGCTTCCACCAATCATGAACAATTTGACTAGATAAAACTTTTATATTATAAATTTTGATGAATAATTATTTAATCCACAAATAATAAATAAAAATATCCTAATATTTGATTCAATGTATGATTCGAATTCCCTTTTATCCAAATCTAAAAATTAATAATTCCATACCCTTAATTCCCAAGAACACATTAAAGAGATCACAAAGAGTTCTCCAGAAAAGGTCATAAAATTCCCATGATTGCAGACCCTACTTTTTGGATTTGTGTTAACAAAGCAAGAAAATAAGATGCTTTGGATATTTGATAAATATTGTTTTTTTTTTTTTTTTTGCATTCAAAGTTTATTAGCTGATCAAACATTTGGTCACATAGTTTAATTAAGGCTTTGATATCTGTTAAAAACTGCAGTCAATTTAAAATTTACATCATTTAATAGAGTTGGTGAAAAACAAAAAGGACTAATTCTATATATTAAAGGGAAATGCCTTTATTAAATATAGTTCATTCTTACAGACAGAACTTTGGTAAGGGGTTGTTCATCATTCATAGAAAGAGGTAGT